GGGGAAGACCAGCCCACTGTGCGCTATTTAAGGAATAATAGACACATAAGTGACTTTCTACCACCACTGCAGATAAAATCGAATAACCACAACATATGCCTTCTTAAAGTTCGTGTGGAAATTTTTCAGTTTTTTGTCCACTTCAAAGGAAAGTGAGAAACACCCTTTCATTGCTGATTTCAAAATGGGTACACTGGACTCCTTGGAAAAATCTGGAGAGTACAGAACACCTTCGTTTATGGTAGAGAATATTCTAACGTCGATGTTTGGGTGTTCTTTACTTAGCTCAAGGGGTGGTCACAATGCTGGACTTTGTCTCTGTCACTGTCTGTGTTTTTAACAAAAGAATTGAAAGACCTACTTCACCCCAAAATGCTTAAACAAATTTGGCTAAAAGCTGTAAATCATTTAAAACTTCAGTTTGTGCTTTTTAGATATTAGTTATGTAAAACAATTTTCTAGTAAAAATCAGTACTGAGTTTCTTTGTAATTAAAAAAGTATATCTTGAAGACTATTTCAATTAATGGATGAACTGCTTTTTTATCTTGGTGCCTGGTATGGCTTTCCAGGCCACTGTAATCACAAAAGGGACAAACATGTCTGTTTGTCTCCTAGTTGCTATCCCTTTGCATCTCTTCTCACTTCAGCTGGAATCATAGGCAAAGCTCCTTAGTGATGATGCTGTGTTGACCGCTGTCACGTCAGCCCCCAACTCATGGCAACCCCATGCACAACAAGATCGGGCTGTTGTGATCTATAGGGTTTTCACTGGCTGATTTTCAGAAGTAGATTGCCAGACCTTTCTTCCGGTCTGTCTTAGTCTGGAAGCTCCACTGAAACCCGTTCAGCATCATAGCAACATGCAAGCCTCCAATGACAGACCGGTGGTGGCTGTGCATGAGGTGCATTGGTTGGGAGTTGAACCCAGGTCTCCCATACAGAAGTCAAGAATTCTACCAATGAACCACGACTGCCCTCTTAGAAAAATCTATTAACTCCAGAACAGAGGAGTCTTGGCTGGAGTCCAGGGGGTAGAGTGCAGGTGAAGTTCACCTCTCTGGGCTCCATTACTGAAAAGACTGGCTTCACACAACCTTGATCCTCTCTGCTATTGTTCCACTAACATTATATCCCCAGGAAAGTGATCAGCATGCAAGGTCTGAAACTATGTAGGGCTTAGTACAGCCAGTGAGAATTTGTAAAAACACTCTCAATTGCCTTGTCATTCATTGAGGGAATTCACCAATATTCAGCTAATGGTATCTCTTTCCCTAGAGAGTAGGGGGGCCCGGGGGAGAGGACGCTTCCATAACCAAAGCAGTGGGATGGAAATTCCTCCAGAGTTTTTGATTTCCGAGCCCATATGTAAGGCAGACCCAGCCGAGACCTCAGACAGTCTCAAATAAATCATTATAATGTCAGTAAAATTCTAATGCCACAGTGAATGAATTAACACCAAGCCATGCCGACATCAGCTCTTCTGAAAATGAGCTGGTGGAGGCACTCATACATATGTAAACAGGCAAGAGCGGGCGGGTCTAAAACGAGACTTGATCTTTTACACAGAGTGAAGGTATTTCTTGTCATGTAGCAGAAAATGAAGTCTGTTCTGGCAGGAAGTGTTAGCCCTTGAGAGAGGCCTTTCTCAGACTTGCTTCTTGCTGGCTGTCCCCTTTGGAGCACCTCCTGTCAGGCCCTGCGCGGAGTAGGAGCGTCACTACATTAAAGGGGAGACTCACCCAGGCTTACAGCAGCTGCAACTCAAGCAGGAGATGAGTGCGAGAAGAGCTTCCATAAGCGTCATGGGTGTCCAAAACCTGCCCCCAGCCCTCAAAGCAACACAGAACTTTCTAAACCTCCTCATTTCCACCATCATGACAATCTGTCTGTAGATTAAAGCAAAACTGGCTCCAAGGCACAGAATGGGTAGCATCTAGACTAGGCCAGGCCAAGGCTCCAGTGCAGATTTCTAAAGGCTGGGGCTTGTTTGATGCAGTGGCTGGGAGCCTTGCCTTTGTAGAAAATGAATAACAGAAAAATTTTACTACTTCTTGGTTGTATATACTTCAACTAAAAATAGTTAATACTTTCTGTTATTTAAAAAATCCTGCCATATTCTAGTCAGATAATATTTCTCTTCTCCAAACGACAACCACATTCTCAGATTCCTAGATTAAAACAAACATTCAGGCAGGTTTGATATTTCCCACAGCTTAGAAAGACAAAGCATCTTGGCTGCTGGCATTTTAATGTTCTCGAAAACCTAAAAATGGTTGGTGGATCAGAATGAATAAACAGTCTCAGCACTAAGTCCCCAAATCCTCACACTTTTTTTTTTTACTCAAGATGTTAACATGTCAAAAAACTAATTTAGTCTTTTAAATACGTTATGAAATCTTTCAGACATGCAGAAAACTCTGAAGAATAATATAACAATCATCTCTTAACTCGCTGTTCAACACAAAACATTACACATAAGTTAAAACCTCCTGGGTACCCCTACCTGGCCCATCCCCAGGAAGCGCCTATCCTGAATTTGATAGAATCATTCCCATTCTTTTCTTTATTATTCCACTCTGGTTTTGTTTTACATGTTTTTAAATTTCATATAGGAGTCCCTAGGTAGTGCAACCCTGGTGGCCTAGTGGTTAAGTGCTACGGCTGCTAACCAAAAGGTTGGCAGTTCGAATCCACCGGGAGCTCCTTGGAAACCCCGTGGGGCAGTTCTACTCTGTCCTATAGGGTTGCTATGAGTCGGAATCAACCCGATGACAATGGATTTGGTTTAGGTAGTGCAAACGGTTAAGCGCTCGACTACTAACTGAAAGGTTGGCTATTCAAACCCACCCAGAGGCGCCGCAGAAGACAGGCCTGGAGATCTGCTTTTGAAAAGTCACAGTTTTGAAAACTCTGTGGAGTTTGCCATTGACAGGGTGGCAACTAACAACAACAAGAACCAACTTCATATAAGTAATATATATAGTATATGCATTCATCTCTAATTTGCTTTTTCCCCCTCTACTTTATAATCATAGATGATCTATCTGGAGATATATATATATATATATGTATGTATATATGTTGTTGTTATGTGCTGTTGAGTCGGTTCTGACTCATAGCAGCCCGGTAGGACAGAGTAGAACTGCCCCATAGGGTTTCCAAGGAATGGCTGGTGGATTGAACTGCCAACCTTTTGGTTAGCGGCGCAGCTGTTAACCATTGTGCCACCAGGGCTCCCATATGTATATATATGTGTGTTTATATACACACACACACACATATATATACGTACACACATACATGTATCAAACATTTGTATGATATCATACATGTCATACATATGATACAATACATATGTATATCTATCACACTTATCCATTACTAAATATTACCAAATTGCTCTACAAAGCAATTGTACAGTGTTGTTGTTAGTTGCTGTTGAGTCAATTCCGACTCATGGTGACCCCATGTATGCAAACTAGAACTGTTCTATAGGGTTTTCAAAGCTGTGACCTTTTGGAAGTAGATTGCCAGGCCTGTCTTCTGAGGCACTTCTGGCTGGGTTTGAACCACCAACTTTTCAGATAGTTGTCAAGCACTTAACCATTTGTACCACCCAGGGAAAGAATTCCGGTTGCTTCATATCTTTGACAAAGCTTGGTGTTGTCCAACTATAATTTCTGCAGTATGATGGGTGAAAAAGGGTACCTCACTGAAGTTTTAATTTACCTTTCTGGTTACTAGTGAGGCTATTAGCCATTCTTATTGACCAACTTATTTGAATTACCTCTTTATATCTTTTGCCCATTTTTTAATTGGGAATTGCTCATTTTTATTTTTCTCATTGCTTTGTAGGAGTTCTTTATGTATTCTGAGTGCTAATCCTTTCTTTTACGTGCATTGCAACTATCTCCCTCAGTCTGTGGTTTGTCTTTGTACTTTACATGTGGTGAATTTTGATGCACAGATATTTTGAGTTTGATATGTTTAAATTGTATCTTTTACTTTGTGGTTTGTCTAGATCTTGTCTCACAAATACTTCGCTACCTCAAGATCATAAAGATATTCTCCAGTATTTTCATCTAGTAGTTCCAAGTTCTGCATTTCACATTTAGTTGTTTTATCTATCTGGGATTAATATTTGTGTTTGGTATGGGATGGGGATCTATTGCTTTTCCATTCACAAACCAGTGTTCCCAGCACCACTTATTGAATAGACCATAGCTTTCTCACTGTCCCTGCTAGGCCATTTCTGTTATGTATCAAGTGTTAGGCTGTCTGTCCTAGTCCATTGGTCTGTCTGTCTAGCCCTGTGTAAAAATCACATTGTCTTAAGTTACTACAGTTTTATAAAAAGACTTGGCATCCAGTAAAGCAAGTTCATATACCTCATTCTTCTTCAAAATTATTTTGGCCACGTTTGGCACAATTTTATCTCCTTTTCTTGAGTTTTGTCTGGGCTGAGTACAAGCAGTCAATGGCAAGGCAATAAGCAGAAGAGAAAAATCAAGCCAAAATTAGCCCTGGGCAATCCATAAACTGAATATTCAGCTACTGATAACTAAGAAATTGCTGTGTAGTAATGAATATAGAAAGCCCATATTTAAAAAGCATTTACTTGCAAAAACAAAACTATTTTTTTAAAAAAGTTTCTGTACTGTAGCAAGGGACATTTAAAAATAGAAACTAGAGAATATCTTCCGGTCAATATCAATGTTCTTGCCTTTAGTTACTTTTAAACACACTTTTGCACACAGGCAGTCACTGAGAGTTCTCTGACACAGTGCCAAAACTGTATGCTTGTTCCCTGGATCCCCCAGAGCATTCCAGATTGGAGGTCAGACAGTCTGTATGGAGACACTCTGAGAACTCAGTATCCCTCCGTAACATGGGTCTATGAATGAAGTATTCTTTCTTTCATTCAAGGGAGGTTTTATTCTCGCAAAATGCTCTCAGTGACGTTTTTATAACCTCATGATTACAACTTGGTGTTCTACAGTGTCTTCAGATTCAGACCCTCTTATACGGACCACAGGACAAGAGGACCCTGGCCACCCAGCAGACCGTGGATGTCCTGTCCAAGTGAGTTGGCTTTTCCTCACAACATTCCTCTGAGTATGTTGTTCCTTTGCTCTCTTCAGAATCTCAGATGAAACTGATTCTAGAAAGTTCTGAGGTGATCCGTGGAAAGTTTCACTAACAGACTTTTTGTAACTTGTAAATTATGCAAGGCCAATTCCTTTGAAAATCTAGTTGTGGAACATAGTCTTTGCCCAGATTTTCAAGAAGAAATTATCTTTTGAATAATGTCACAAGCCCACGCTGGATTTTATCCTCCCACAGACCCAGCCATCTTCCTCCCACAGACCAGCCCTCTATGGATTAACGCATCCGCTGGAGGGGGAGGGCACAAAGCATACGCATGGAGCCCCGCTGGAGCCCTGCTCTGAGTCGCCCTGAGCTTTAGGGGTCCAGCACTCTACCATGGAGCTCCCCTACCTCACAGTGCCTGTGTCACTGGCAGCCCGTGGCTGACTGCAAAATCCCTGCTCAGGAAAGAGCCCCCGAAGCCTCGGGCCGAGAATGTCAGCCGCCACCACCACCACCAGCACTACCCCGTGTGTGTCAGAGTGGAGCTGTGCTCCATATGGTTTTCAGTTGACTGATTTTTCGGCTGTAGATAATCTTTCTTCCGAGGAATCTCTGCATGGACATGAACCTCCGACCTTTCCATTAGCAGTCAAGCTCGTTAACCGTTTACACCACCAGGGACTCAGGCAGAGGCGTAACTAGGGTATAGCAGGTATGGAAGGTATTGCACCTGCCCTGGGCACGTATCGCCACTGAGCGGTTTCTGTTAACCCGGTGCGGCCAGCAACGTATCTATGGAAAATGGCGCCTATGGCAAACACTGAAATTGCGCCCCTGTCCAAACATCTGACACCCCTCTTTTGGATAATTTTACCATAATATCAGCTCAAAAATACAAGTCAGGCTCCTTAATCTTTTAATTAACACATTATCGTGCTTGAGGAAGGATGTTGGGCCATCCTGGTTTACCAGAAACCGCTCAGTGGCGTCCTGCGCCGAGGGCCAGTGCAGCACCCTAGCTACCCGCCAGTCCCTCTTAAACAGGGAAGATGAGCCAAGGAACCGATCTCGTCAGTCCTTTTTGTTCCGTTGCGTTCACTGAGCCAGCTAAGGATTGTCTCAGTTTATCAAGACTGATCACGAGGAATTAGAAACCAGGAGGAAAAAAAAATGTGTTCTATATTTTTGTGGCATGATTCTTTCATTTCCATCCCCTCCTGAGGTTTTTCATTAAATGTAGCTCGGTAGCTGCTAGGCGTGCCTTTACAAGAGCGCGGGCTGCGGAGGCGGCCATGCGCGTGTCCATGAGCTCGCTCACCCCCACCCTCTGATTTCTCGCAGGGCCCCGGATGTCGGTGGGAAGCCACGGCAGGCTCAGAAAGGCAAGCCGGCGTTCTGCCCGGCAGTACCTCAGCACCCTGCCCACGGGAAGGCGAGGGTTAACGCAGCTGTCTGAGACGTCCTACCGCCCCAAAGAAAGCTTTGGTCAGACCTAAGTGCTTACATTTTAGGGTGCTCTCTCCAACTAGAAGATGGAATTCAGTAGCCATTGTATAGATTTTTAAGGCTCCAGCGTGCAACAGAGACACCACAAACCTCCCACAGGCCACGTTTTGACAATGGATGCCCTTCAGGGGAATCTGGTGCTTCTATAAAGCATTTTTCTTTTTACCACCGGAGTGGTTTTTGTTGCCAACAAAAAATTTTACCCATCAGCACTGCTGAAAGGCTTCCCTTCAAAAACTCAAAACCATCTGCAGCTTGCACAGTCTGGAGTCCGATTTGGAGCAGTAACATTCTGGGAGAAGCCCTTTGTTACATGAAGGTAACAGGGACTGAGAAGAGAATGGTGATAAGCGGGAGCCTGAGGCTCTGGTGTCCAGTGTGTCTAGGTAAATGTGTTTAAAATGAAGCCTACCTCGGAGATCCTCAGAGTCTGAAAAGGGGCACTGAGGGGCATCCTTCATGTCCTCAGTTGCTCATCCGATTTGTATGTACCAGGCAGCATAAGAACTGGGGGCCCAAGTCAGCAAGACACACACAGTCCCTATCCTCCCAGCGCTCACGATCGACATGGATGCTGTTAAGCGTATCACGAGGGCATTAGCCCCTAACCGTGGCAGCACTTGCACCAAAGGAAGAGAGTGACAGGGGGAACTGACTTGGCCTCGGGGTCAGGAGAGCAGGGCCAGGGAAGTGAAAGGCGAGCTAATGGGGTGAGGCCGGCACCGAGAGTCTGCTGGGGGGTCCTGACTACTCCGTTGTGCTCCTGTGGCCTTTGTCCTCTAGGTGGGGAGAGACTGGTGGCTGCTGCTGGGAGCATCTTTGTGAGCTGGCCCAGCCCGGGCCTTGCTCCCCTGCTCTCCCGACAGCGTTCCGGGCTCAGCACGTATGTGGGGTGGGGGGTGCAGCAGGTGGAGGGGTGCACCTTAGTGCCCACAGCAGTCTTCAGGTTCCTGTAGAGAGGCCGCAGTCCCACGAAAGTAGGGAAAACTAGTGCAGGGCTGGGTTTAGCACCCTTCTCCAGCTCTTTGCTGATGATACTGGTGCTGGGATGAGGTGGGTGGAGCACTCACTGGGTGGAGTGGGGGTGGGGGTTGCTTTCCCTTCTCCCTCGGCCCCTTGGCACAGTCCAAGGAGGCTGCAGCCTGGTCATACACGAACAGAAGGATGGCAGTAGGATCTCAGCACTCGGGCCTGCCCTTGGGGCCCCAGTAGAAAACCCAAACCCCACTGGCCTCACCTGTGCAGGGCGCCACCTTGAGAGGAGATGGGGAAAATAAACCACAAAGGGCCTTGGGTGACCACGCAGCCGCGCTGCCTGTACTGAAATGACTTGTAGAGTCTGCTGAGAGTGCTGCCTTCTGCCATCCTGGAGGGCGGGGGTCTCTCCGGGCCCCCGTGGGTTCAGAACCGGTCCCCAGTGCCGTGTGGGCCATGAGGGAGGCCACCTGCTTGAGGTGGCATAGCATCAGTGGACCTGCATGGTCCTACTCATCCTGCTGGCCGACCTTGTTCACCCTCAGCTCAGCCCTCTGGGCCCATGTCCTTGGGTCTTGTGCCCCGTGGCCTACATGGCTGCCCCCTTTTTATTACCATAGAGTTTTTCTATTTGTTTTTTATTGTGGTAAAAATATATATAACTTCTGCCATTTCATCATTTTTACATGTACAACTCTGACATCAGTTACATTCACCATGTTGTGCAACCATCACTACTGTCTCCAAACTCCTGCTGAGTTATTCCCTCACATATTCTTCCACTGGCCTTCACATAGTCGTCTTTGACTGCCTAGTTTTCTTCCTCTCTCCACTGATACCCACTCTCTCCTTTTCTCCCTCACCACCTCCAGCTTCCTGCCCACAGCCACACCCTTCCCCATACAACACCAGAAGAAAAAATCCTCTCCCTCCTCCATCTCAGGAAGGCTCCGGGGAAGCCCAGAGAGTCCAGGTGGACTGACCTTCCCTTTCTGCCTGCCTAAACGAAGGCAGCATGTCCAGCCCTTTTCCTGTCACGGCACATACAGATTTCTGTGCAGTATGCTCAGGTACACAGGAAAACCTACCCAGCCCGGGAGCTCCGTGGCTCCAGATCCCCCTGGTTACCTGCACCCCCGTAATCCATGTGGAGCACGCACACTGGCTGGGGAGCTCTGAGCGAGGGCCCTTCGATTGCAGGAGCCAATCTGGGTAACAGGCAGAAAAGAATATTTACTGGGCAACTGTGGGGCAGTCATCAGCGGGCAACGCTGGGTAACTAGGTCTTGGGAAGGTTCCAGGGCAGGTGTCGGCAACAAACAGACCATGTCTTCTGGGGCCACTAGCAAAAGAGGATTTCTCCCCTCAAGACTCAATTCCTGGGAGTGTCTGCCTGGCCTAACACGGCTGGGAGGTCTCGAGTATTAACCATCCCCCCAGTGCAGCATGCAATGGGAATGGGGTACCCCTTAAGGGAAAATAAGCATACAGTTGCCAGAAGATTGGACATAAATGCTAGGCAGCTATGTAACCTGCAGGTGCCACAACAATGCCCCGTCCTCTGCACGGTGCCCCACTCACTGGCTGACCTACTGCTGTCCTCCTCCTGGGAGCCAGCAGGAAATGACGCAGTGAGGTCAACTTTTCCCCCCTTCCTACGTATGATGTAGAGGAAAAAAAACTGAATTAATTTTAAACTTTATTATCAAACAGTGGGAGGGGGAGAGAAGTCAAAAGCAAACACACACACACAGCTTAAAGCATCAGTAAGATGTTAAGTGCACAGCTAAATGACACACACATTCCCAGGAGGCCGGACCCAGGTGTGAGAGCCGAGGCCGCCTTTCCCCATAGTCCTAGCAACAAGCTTCATCTTCTGCCCAGCAGAAGTTCTTCCTTGAGAATTTGTTCTTTAGCAAATCTTGCACACCTAGCAACTGTAAAGAAGTGTCTCAATGTTTTTAACACAAACCTTTCTCTTAGTTTATACATTTGCAACATTCCCATCTATTAGTATGTGTACCATTCAAAAACAAAAACAAAAACAAAAACCACATTGCCCTAGAGTCAATTCTGACTCACAGCAATGCTATAGGACAGAAGAGAACTGCCCCATAGGATTTCCAAGCCTGTAAATCTTTTTTTTTTTCCAGTTGTACTTTAGATGAAAGTTTACAAACAAGTTTCTCATTAAACAATTAATACACATACTGTTGTGTGACATTGATTGCCAACCCCATGGCATGTCAACACTCTCCCTTCTTGACCTTGGGTTCCCCATTACCAGCTCTCCTGTCCCCTCCTGCCTTCTCATCCTTGCCCCTGGGCTGGTGGACCCATTTAGTCTCATTTTGTTTTATGGGCCTGTCTAACCTTTGGCTGAAGGGTGAACCTTAGGGGTGACTTCATTACTGAGCTATAAGGGTGTCTGGGGGGCCATAGTCTCGGGGTTTCTCCAGTCTCTGTCAGACTAGTAAGTCTGGTCTTTTTTCGTGACTTAGAATTTTGTTCTACATTCTTCTCCAGCTCCATCCCGGACCCTCTGTTGTGATTCCTGTCAGAGCAGTTGGTGGTGGTAGTGGGGCACCGTCTAGTTATACTGGACTCAGTCTGGTGGAGGCTGTGGTAGTCGTGGTCCATTAGTCCTTTGGGCTAATCTTTCCGTTGTGTCTTTGGTTTCTTCTTTCTCCCTTGCTCCAGACGGGGTGAGACCAGTGGAGTATCTTAGATGGCTGCTCACAAGCTTTTTAAGACCCCAGACACTACTCACCAAAGTAGGATGTAGAACATTTTCTTTATAAACTATGTTATGCCCATTGAGCTAGATGTGCCCCAAGACCATGGTCCCCACAGCCCTCAGCCCAGTAATTTGGTCCCTCAGGGAGTTTGAATGTGTCTATGGAGCTCCCATGACCTTGTCCAAGGCTGTAAATCTTTACAGAAGCAGACTGCCATGTCTTTCTCCTGCAGAGTGTCTGGTGGGTTTTGAACCACAAAACTTGTGGTTAGCAGCTTAACCACTCCGCAACCAGACACTTGTAAATCTTTTATAATTTGGGAAAATTTTTATCAGTGGGGTTGATGGCAGTGTGCAAAAGAGATGTGAGATGTGGTCAGTACTCACCAAGAGTGTCCCATCTAGTTGAAGACAGAGGGTTCTATATGACGTGGGGTAAATATTTTAAGTATATATCACGTAAGAGTATACGCTGGCTTTTGGGGGAGAAAGTGGTATCTGATCTGTTACTTCTTCCTTTCTTATTTCTTGACGGACAATATCTTAGAATCACAGAAACTAAATTTTTAAAAATCTGACCCCCCCACACTCCCAAGGGTACGATGACTTTAAGGGTGTTTCACCAAACGTCTGCCATCTGTTACATTTGTTAACTTCAGCATGAGAAGAAGACTGCAGTTATTTTTTTTATCATTTGTAAAAGGAGCCCTGGTGGCACAACGGTTAAGGGCTTGGCTGCTAACTATAAGGTTGGCAGTTCAAACCCACATGGCTCTGTGGGAAAAAGACCTGGCCATCTGCTTCCCTAAAGATTACAGCCTAGAAAACCGTATGGGGCAGTGTACTCTGTCACATGGGGTCACCAGGAGTCAAAAATCGACTCTACAGCACCCAACAACAATAAAAGGCTATGGAGAGGTTCAACGGTTACAAACAGGCAAGGATACATAGCTACTCCTTTGTTTCAAATTAAGTTTGTCAAGCTCCTACGAAATAGCCTTGATTAACACCCTCCCATTTGCACTTAAGGTAACCAACCATCTCGGTGTGCCCAGGAGTGTCCCGGATTTAGCGCAGGAAGTCCCACATCCCAGGAAACCCCTCCACGCTGGGCAGGCAGCATAGTGGGTCACCCTATCTGCAGCGGCCTTCCAAGCTGTTCTTACCAAACCCTTCAGCCTGTATTTGAATATAAGCCAACTGGTTTATGCTATGTCTGCCAGGCTTTTTAGCTCCATGCTAACCAGTTCTAGCTCTGCTCTGATTCAAGTGGAGAATTAAAAACTAAGAGACTTTCCACACATACTCTCCCCAGCGATTCTGTGCTTCCATAAAAACATAATGTGAACACAGAGCTGCTTTATACTTGAGACCACACCACAACAAAATCTACTGGAAAACATTCATTCTCTTTAGAAACAACGCGGACTTTTTTCTTTCTTAAGATTTTTATTTTTACACATTCTTGTGACATTTCCTTTCGTAAGGAATAGGAGGCTAGCAAAATCAGCTTTTTAGAAGACTCCATTCTGAATATGCATTTTAAACAGACAATACTATAACCAGTGGGAAGCTGGAAAACATTCAATTGATACCATTTTGTCTCAACAAAAATAAACAGGAGAAGACTGGTTGTGTCCCCACCCCCTCCAACCATAAAACTGCTTTGTTATCTCCAGTGACTGGCTTACTACCATAGAGCTGTGAGATGGTCCGTCATCATGACGAGGGCACACACTGCTTCTGAACGATCCAAGGACTTCATAACTAACAACAGCTCAGGAGTCCATATGGGAGATACTTGTAGCGGGATACTTCAACTTGGACAGGAAAATTAAGGTCTAAGATATTAACATTATTTCCAAAGAAAGTAGAAGTGGGTCATAATATTAAAAACCTACTCGTGTTAGCGTCCATTTTCAAGGTTGTAAGCTAGGATAGTTACATCAAACTAAGCTGCTTCTGTTTTGACCTTAGTCTGTCACCTTGATCAAATTCTCACCAGTAAATCACTTATACAAATATCATTACCAATTACAACTAAAATAAAATTAGCATATTTTTGACTACATTAGAAACAAATCTTTGTTTATGCTAATCATGAGTTCATTCTGGTAGATATAAAAAAAAGTTTGAAACTTGCAATCCAAATCAACTTTCTCTTTCTATACTTTGATTCACAAGTGTTTCTGTTTTGTAATCGTGGTAAAAATATATATATAATAAAACGTTCGCCAATTCAATTTTTACATGTATAATTCAATGACATGGATTACGGTCATCACGCTGTGCAACCATCACCGCCATCTTTTTCCAAATTATTCCACCACCACAGGTGTTACTAAATCATAGCTGCATTCCTCTTCCACTTATTAAGAAAACATTCTCCACAGACTACATGCTATAGCCATTACCACAACCCAGGGAAGTGTGCCCCACGTGTCCAAGAGCCACGGTGTGATTAGATGCCTTCCTTAGATTTTCTGTGCCCGGGGAAGATTTTTGGAGGCCATTACCCCTCCCCCACTTCCTGATAACCTACCTGAGGATGACATTACCCTTGGATCCTCATTCCTCAGCATACTACAGTCAGTTACGTGATGCTATCCTAGGAAGTACAGCTCAGACAGCACTACATGCAAAGAGACTCTAGTTTGGACTAAAATAATATTATGTTGCTACGAGATGCTACTTCTATGTGACCCTAGACCGTTAAAGACGGAAGCTTTAAAAATAAGCTCGTGTAAGATAAAACTAATCTAATACAGAACACTCTAATATCTCAGACTCTGTGGTGTATGCCTGCAGGTCCACGCCCTGTGGCCAGTGAGAATGGGGCCACTCCTGGGCGCTTCTGTGCAGGGCTTTGGGAGAGGTACCTACTTCCTTCCCCACCGCATCTTATTCTATTTAACATATCTTCCTTTCCCTGGACAAAACACCCCAACTGTAATTATTTCTCTTGAAAGTGCAAAAAATTCCATGAGGTCTGTCTGTTATGATTTTTAATCGTTTTAATCATTCAGTCTCTGAGCTCAGAGAGAACATCACTCTGTTAACGGTGGGTTGAGAACGGCTCCTCTGTGAGGCACTCGACCACCTTGTGCTTCCGATTTTACTCACACACACCATCTTGCAAGGCCAGCTGCATCCTGAGTGTCAAACTGTCTTCAGGTCCACCTCCCACCAGTGAAATGAAATGTTTAGGTGCTAAGGGTTAAGGTGCAGAAAAGCTCAAGACTACTCTGATAGGAGCCGGCTGTTCCAGAACTGAGGTTATGCTGCTTTGCCTAGTGCTGCAGAAAGGAAACGCTACGGCAAGCAATTCACAATCCTTGTTTCACCTACAGGTCGATCTCGTGCCGTGTTCTACGAAGCTGTGCGCACACAGCGAGTATGCTGACTTTAAGTAGACTACAGCTGTGTTCTCCACAGATCAGATACTCTATTTTTTAAAGTTCTGCGCATGGAAAGCAATCCATTCAAAACTTAAAATTTAAAGCTATGTCAAAGAACTTTTTCCTAAAAATAGTTAGCAGATTTTTTTAATCTATAAGCAGTCTGATTATTTCTTAGGCTTTCTATTTGAAAAGAGAAAATTGCATTTCTTTTTCCCTTAAACTGTTAGTTTGCTATAGCATATTAGCAGATGCAAATAAAACTTATTCTTAAATGTATTAATCTGGTTACTGTTTAGGCATGTTACCTATAGATAATTATGGTTTCAAAAAGTTGAGGCATTTCTGTGGCCACGTGGGAAACTGATAGAAACTGTCCCCAGAAGTGGAGAGAATACTCCAGAAAAAAGGAATCTTTTAAGACTAAAAAGACAAAGTATTTTGTAAAAGTCCCAACTCAAAACTAAAACTCCAATGCCTCTTAAGGCTGGAGTCAATTGAAAATCTCTGTGTAAAGTAAATTGACCACTGTCTCTTTGAAGAAAGTAAAAACGGGTGGCTTTCACAGAGTGCGCCCCCCCCCCCCCTTAAAATAAGTCAAGGCCTTTGTATGTTGGTATGTTACCAAATAAGATGCTATTTAAAGCCACATATTTTTGTTTCTCAAAACCAGTGCCCATCGCTCTCCTCCTCATTGTCTAGATAGAGCAGAGCAACCTTCTTTTCATCAGAAACCACTGACCTCTGGTCGACCATCCTCTGCAGCTGCACTAGCTTATCAAACTCGGCCTGCTCCTTGCCCTTTGGCCTGTGGGCCTGGTTTCCGTCATCAACGGAGGCCTGAAAGCTCCTGCCCTCTGCCTGGTCCTTCCTACTGCCAGCGTCTCTCCAGTCTCCACCGTCAGACACATCGGGAGCTGCCGCTTCCTTCCCTGCAGGGAAGTGGACCGTGGCCTCTTGTGTCCATTGGGCAGAGCTGGGGGTCGCCTCTACATGACTCACATCCGTCTGAAAGGTAAAGGAAGTTTCTTTGGGCCCCAGTGTAACGTGCCTTATCGACCTGCTGCTGTCTGCTAACTCACCTAACTCAGGGGAACCCGCTGCACCAGCAAGTGCAGACGTTTTGGAAACGGGTCCGTGGAAGACGATGTGTTCGGAGGTTTCGGTTTCTGCAGGACCTAGTCTAATGTGCCTAAAGGACCTGCTAACGTCTGATGTCACTTCTGCCTCGGACGCACCTCCTGCACTGTCCTCCAGAGGAGATTCAGGAGCAGCCCCTTGGAAGGAGCTCTTGTCAGTCATGAGAATTGTTCTTCCTGAGGTGTAAGTGCGAGTGGCTTGGGTTATGTCTGCTGAGCCCTCTCTGTGGACAATGCTTTCTGAGTCACTAAATCCCATGGCCTGGGGAATGGGCCCTTGGTAAACTATCTGCTCAGTGGTTTGGAGCTTCTGAGCACCAATTTGGATGTGCCTAGTGGATGTGCTGTGACCAGACAGCTCGCCAGTGTGTTCAGAACCTCCTCTGACACTTGACTCCATTTCCTCTAAAAGGGGGGCTGTGAATTGGATTTGCTCACTGAACCCTTCTTTGGGGTCTAATTTGAGGTGACTTACAGAAGCCTGGGTACCTGTGGACTCTTCAGTTTGAAAATAATCACCAACCTTCCCTGCCCCAGGAATGGGGCCCTGAAAAATAATTTCCTTTTTAGCATGAAATTGTTTGGAGCCAAGCATGATGTGCCTCCCCGATTGGTCAGTGTCTGTAAAAAACTCAGCCTGGCCAGGCTCTTCTGTGCCCCTTTCCTCCTGAACGGTAGGGACAGGCCCCTGGACGAAGACTTCTTGGGACATTTGACTCTGACTAGGACCCAGCGTAAGATGCCTCACAGACCAGCTGGCTCCTGCTGAGGGCTCTGCCTCATCAAGGTCACCTTCTCCACTTACCTCCACCACTTCTGTAGTGGGTCCTTCAGACAAGACTTGCTCAGTCCTCCAAATCTCAGCGGGGCCTATTTGAATGTGTCTTACAGACTGACTTATGTCCTCCAACACCTGTGACTGGGGAAAGCCCCTGGGGCTGCTGACTTCCACGGTGGCGGACACGGGACCCTGGTGGCTGACCTGCTCTGTGCTGGGCGAGGCCGGGCCGGCATCATCCCCTTCAGCAGAGGGGCTGTACAGTTCCCTAGTGGCCCAGCGCTTGAAGCTAGTGCCAGCGGCTAGGGCCTCCGTTCCGCGTTTCATGTCAAGGCTTTCGGGCACATGGCTGTGTTGCTTGGTCAAACTCTCTCTGACCACCGACTCCACGGCTCTCTCTATTTCACTGGTTTCATCTCTGCTCAGCTTGTCGAGGTCTAACTTATCAGCATCTACAGTCTGTGAGAGGTTGACTTCAGCAACTAAGGTCATGGCGCCACCGCCAGAGGTCTGGACTTTCTTTACATCCACTGAAACACTCCCAGGCTCGCCCGCACCCGCTCGAGTGAGGGCAGACAGCTCTTCCCTCACTCGCTCTGGAAGGCTTTCTTCCAGCTGCCCGATAACCTCCCCCACCTGGTGTTTGGGTTCCTCGGAGAAGACTCCCTTAATGGTTGTGTGAAATTCATGTGGTATTTTAATTTCCTTCTCAATGACTGTGGGCTCAGCATGAAACTCGCCACTTTTAGCTTGTTCTCTCCAGTGAGAAGAATCCAGGCCCCCCTCCATAGAGGGAGCTGGAACATCCAATGGCTTCACAACTTTCTCTCCCAATGAGTCGTCCCTCTTCCTTCTCTGAGTCCCTCGCACAATCTCATCTTGCCACGAGTACTTGATGGTGGATTCTTCTTCAGTGTGGATCTGCCCGTACATGGGGCCTTCCTCTCTGTCATGGCCCCCTGGGTGTTCATCTGGAGTTGACACAAAGTAACTCTGCTCTCCCTCCCAGTCATCTGCCTCCGTCACTTCTTCAACATGAGCTGTGTTCTCAGGGGGCTGCTTGGTCCTTTTATCTTGATTGACTGAGAAAGTGGTATCTGTTTCTCTATAACTTTCCTTTTCCTCAACAAGTCCCTTGGAACCTGGAGACACATCGTCGACCTCCTCCACTTCAAACGGGGTGGGGAACTCCTCTGCCTTCTCTCCCCCTACGTAGCTCATGGGCTCTTCAATGATCTCCACACTGACAACCTTTGCTCTCCCCTCTCTTCCTTTCAGACCACTATTGATTATATCTCCTATCATTTGCTCAGCGGATTTTCCTTTCAGCTTCACTTCCTTCACATCCTTGCTTAAAAGGTAGTCCAGGCCAGCTTCGTCGGAAACATCGATATCCTCAGTCAGTTTAGACTCCATGATGATTTCAGTCTTTGTTTTCCTGTCACCGGGAAGCTCTTTCCTTTCCATGTAAGTGACTTTCGTGTCTGGGAAAGAATTAGCAGATGCTTCTGTATCTGGAGACTGGGTAAACTGCTTAAGGATACTGGAGACAATGTTTTCTGCAATGGTTTCAGTCATGGAGTCACCTTTCATAGAGCTGGGGGTGTCGCCTGTGTCCATCCTGAACCTCGTCTCTCTTGTTTCCACCCCTCCACCTGTCCCACCACCAACATCCTTCTTGACAGACGTCTGGAAGCCTTTTGGAGACACCTCTGGGGTGCTGCCCTGGGATGCTTCTAGAGTAATTGGTATCTCTCTTTCTTGCACATTTTTCTCCTTCAGCGATTCGTTCTCTTTAGCCTTTCCCGTCATTTGCTGACTTTCCCTCTTTCTTGCTTCTTTATCTAACTTTGTCAGTTCTTCCCACCTTAAGTTTCTTTCCTCAGAAGCCTTCTCTTTGGAATCAAACACTTTCTCTTCTTGCTTTGTTCTGATAGTTACTGGTATGTTTCTGCCTTGCTCCTGTGTGGCCTTCACTTCTGTTTCCTTTCCCAGAGTGACAGCCCTCTCATTCGACCTCGTGCTCTCAGATGCGCCCGCCGCCATGTTGTCTCGGTGTTCTTGGTATGACTTTTGGGCAACGGTGGAGCCTCTGGCTATATAACTGGTGGCATCACTTGTACCTTCGGTTTTCGGTCTTTCAGGGAGTGTTTTCACCTGTGCTTCAGTTTTTCTTAAAAGACCATAGGTTGGAGAAAAAGTTCTGAAACTGGTTTGATCGCTGGCCATTTTTTCATAAGCGTTTTCCTGCCGGACAGTGGCCAAGGATGAGTATCCTGAGCCCAGGAAGCTACCTCGGGCAGCACTTCCAGTACGCGTGCTCATCTGAGATCCAGGGTGTGCCAACAGGTTAGAATAAAGCCTGGAGCTGTGATTCAAACTCACTGGAGGTACTTTCTGCCTTGGAAATAGATTTCTTTCATTTTCCCTCTGTAATACTGAGTTGGTATATTGATAGGATGTGTTTCTGAATTCTGTAGGAAGTGAACAAACCATTTGTTAAAATGACAGTCATCATTACCTTTTTTTGTCTTGAAATCATCACCGCAGGTCAATTCCCATCCCGTCAGAGTAAATATATAAAAAATAGAAAGGTCATTATAAATAAAATCTTTTCAATCCCCAAATTATTTTTTGGTAGTTTTTAAAACCCCGGTAGAAGGAAATATTGTACTACAGATACTTCAGCCTAACACTTTTCTCCAGTTACTAATCTTAAAATATTCATCCATCGTAACAAAGACATTAGACATCTGATTATAGAGCACAGTATGCAGCACAGAGAGGTCAGGGGTGCTAGTATTCTGACTGAAATTTCACAATCTTATGATACTTTGGAACCATTAGTTTCTACTTTGTCGAGATAAGTTAATTTTATTTCAGTAGAGGAGAGCTTTATAATTACAAAGTATATAAATGAATTATTAAACACCAAATCACATTACCCCTCCCCGCTTTGATATGCTTTTATTTTTCACTGATTTTTATGCTGGGCCAATAAATCTTGAGGAATTAACCTTTTTTTTTTAAGCTTCCAGATTTCTTCTATTTTTATACCTGACAGCCTTCTCATTTGAAAAGGCACCAGTGCAGGAAGCCTACCAAGTCACCAACACTACAGTCTATTTTAATTTCACGGTTTTGGAGTTGGGAGGCAGTCTACGTGGCTTCCTGCTCTGTTCTGGACCATCTGAAGAGAGTCCAAATTCCTACAGGGTAACCTGCCCTTAGGAATGGCAGTCTGTAGTTAGAAAATGGCCTGGAGGACCGTCCACCCGAGAGCGCCCCCTGGTGCCTAGCCACACCTCATCCAGCTGAGATGGGATGGAGCCTCCTCTTTCCCTTGGTGGTCCCCATAGCAGCCAACGACAGAGGCCTCTTTGGGACAGATCCCAGCATACAGGAGAGAGATCAGGTCAGGACATTTTCCACGGATTCCTCCTTTTAGTTCAACATATACTAAACCAAGAAGTCTCAGAAGATGAGCCCCCAAAAAACAGTGCAGGAACTGACTTGTTTTTAATGAAGGTTCAATAAGAGAAGATCACAGGCTGGCTACAGCCCTGTCATCTTGTGGGCACTCAGTCAACGTTATTTTATGCAATCTTACAAAATAAACCTAAGTGTATTAATAAGTATAAATCCACTATCTAGAAACTCATCCATTCATTTATTCAACACATAGTTAATGAGGCACCTATACTGTACCAGACAAAGAACTATTTGGAAGCTCAAAGTCTAAGAAGATAGTTCATAATCAGTGATCTTTATTCTAAAGTTCACTTTCTTTTGGTATAACACATAATTGCTAAAATAAATTTAGTTTGAGATTATTAAGTCTCCATACCCTTCAAGGGGTCCTTGGGTGGTGTAAATGGTTAACACGCTTAGCTGCCAACTGAAAGGCTGGAGGTTCAAGTCCACCCAGAGGCTCCTCTGAAGAAAGACTTGGCAATCTAGTTCCAAAAAATCAGCCTTTGAAGACCCTATGAAGCACAGTTCTACTCCGACACACATGGGGTCACTGTGAGTTGGAATCGACTAAATGGCAACTGGCTGGTAGGTTGCTTGGTTGGTTGACTTAAAAATGTTGGCAATCAGAGCTTGGTCCAAGGCTCTTTTTTCTCTCTCTCCACTCTCTCTGTAGATTACGTGGTGGATTTTCAGACTTATACATCCGCACATTAAAGAAAAAGTTTTTGGTGATTCTGTTGTTGTTAGTTGCTGTCAAGTTGGCGCTGACTCATGGAGACCTATGGAGATCGAAACATTGCCTGGTCCTGGGCCAGCTTCATGATCGTTGGTATGTTTGAGTCCATTAGATGACTTGGTAAACCTTAAAATAGGGCGAGTGAATAACTCTTATTTGATAGATGTCATAAATAACTGATGTTAGACAGACTGATAGTGGCCACTTATATGGACATCTCTCAGTATCAGAAAGGAGATTTCCTGGATGTTGTCTAAGACTAAATTGCTTTTAGTCACAAATGATTAGAACTCAGTAACCTGTCAAATCTGTGAAATGCCTAAAAGTGACAACATTGCTTTTGAAAAGTAAAGGTGGAAAGTATTATTTTTTAAAAATCTACCATTACTTATGCCTCCATGAACAACTGCTTCTTTTGCCATGGGACCAGAAGAACTGGATGGTGCCTGGCTACCATTACTGAATATTTTAATCAAAGATTCTATAGAAGAATCCTGATCAAAAGGGGGAAAATGCAAAACAGAATTTCAAATTCTCAATGGAATCCAGACTTTCTGGATCCATTAAGGCTGGAGGAACTTCCAAAACTATTGCCTGGAGATAGTATTTAAACCTTAATCCTCAATCCAAAACTATCCCCTGAAGTCTTCTTTGAACCAAACAACAGTTTAGCTTAATTAGTAAAGTAGTCTGCCTTGAGCATTGTGCTTTTTAAAATACTTGTCTATGTGAGATCAAATTGACAACAGCAACTTGAAAGGTTACTGAGAAGCTAAGGGAGCAGTGAGTTTATGTTAATGGTGTTGGACTAATTTGGAAAAGGATAGCGAGAATGGTTGCACAACTTGAAAAATATCAATGTCACTGAATCATACATGTTGCAATTGTGGAAACAGTATATCTTCTGCTGTATATATTTTTACCAAAAATAAATTAATTAATTTAAAAAAAACCTACCATCTATCCAGATTGGTTGTTAATCAGACATTCTCCCGATAGAAAGCCTTTGCTGTTGAGTTGATTCCAACTCATAGCAACTCTATAGCACAGAGAACTGCCCCATAGGTTTTCCAAGGAGCAGCTGGTGGATTCAAACTACCAACCTTCTGGTTAGCAGCCAAGCTCTTAACTGCTGTGCCACCAGGGCTCGCTCCTGATAGAGGTACTACGTATATGTATTCCCAAATTTGCCATGATTTTGAATATGGTAAAACACTCAGGAACACTAAAATTATACTGAGTAAGAGAAATATTGAACATACCATACTTAGTTTAATCTGTTCTTGCTTAGCCAGAAAGCTTTTTAAGATGCTATAAGGTTTTAAAAAGTTAAGAGGGGAAGAAGTTATCTTACAGGTCCTTTATTACCATTTACTGTTGAGTCGACCCCGACTCATAGCAACCCCATGCGTGTCACAGTAGAACTGCTCCATAGGGTTTTTAATGGCTGATTTGTCAGAAGCAGATCACCAGAACTTTTTTCTGAGATGCCTTTGGGTGGACTCAAACATCCAACCTTTCAGTTAGCAGCCAAGTGAGTTAACTGCACTACCAGCCCCATTATACTAAAATCTATTTGGTACTTAAAAGAGGGATGAACTACAGTTATCTGAAAACCCATATCTAACCCCTACTCTTCCAGATAAATGAGGCCTTACTATTTATAGAGGAAATAAAGAGTTCAAATAGAAAGCCATTTAAAGTTATATAATTAGCTTTTTAAATATCTACCTTGCGGTACATCTTCAATGTGCTTCTTCCAGATCAGTATTTCTGGATTACTTTCTCCTTCCAGTAAGGCTCTGTAAAAATAATTTTAAAAAAAATAATTCATTGCAGAATAAAAGAGCAAAAAGTGTCTCTAGTACAATGTATCAGGTAATATGTGGTCACTGGCCACCTTGTCACAGTGCTGTGCTTTTCAGGACTCATGTCTAAAGGGTACAGGCAGGGTCTGCACTGTGGAGGTGTGGGCCCACCTGTCAGCCTCAGCAGACCCTGGGCCAGGCTGTGCTGTTCTGCTCACTGCAATGTCCCCGGCACCTGGCACAGTGTCTGCCACCTGATAAGTGTTCAGTTCATACCAGCTGAAGGAATAAAATGAATAGGCTATGGCATCATTGTATTGAAGGAATAAAATGAATAGGCTGTGGCATCATCGTACTGGAGAGCCAAGCCCGTTTAGAAAGCCCTTCCAGACCTACAGCAAGGGCAGCAAGAACAACACGGCACTGGAGAGATGTGGGCCCAGGGGGACAGGCAAGGGTCTGACTTCTCCAGGGAAGGGGGAGAGCATGCATGGCACCCCACCCTGGGCTAGGGGGCCCCAATCAATTCCAACTTTCACTGGGGTCTTTCTGGAGTTGCAGGTGGGAGGCTGCCTGCAGGGCACTGAGTGCTCAGAGCAATAACCAGATGGACAAAGACCAGAGCAAGAACTAGCATCCATGTGTGAATAATGCAGCTGGCCTGCACCTGTATTTTCAAACGGTTCCATGAGGTGTTTTGGAGAGGAAGAGGAAAGATGGAAGGTGGGCAGGGTAGAAGGAGAGAAGGATGAGCTGTAAACAACCCCCTCCACCACCACACCACCATGGGGTCTCCACTCCATGCAGAGCAGCTTCCTATTAGCTCCTTTAATATAATGGATGGAAACCACTTACGAGGTGATTTCTTCAGCTACTTCTAGCTCTGTTGTTGCTAGCTGCCACTGAGTTGGTCCCTGACTCATGGCAACCCCATGCACATTGGAAGGAAATGCTGCCTGGTCCTGCTCCATCCCCACGATTGACTGCAGATCAGACCATTGTGGTCCATAGGGTTTTCACTGGCTGATTTTCAGAAGTAGATCACCAGGCCTTTCTTCCTAGTCCTTCTTAGGCTAAAAGCTCCACTGAAGCCTGTTGAGCATCATAGCAAGCCTTCACTGATGGACAGGTGGTGGCTGTGCATGAGGTGCACTGGCCAGAAATCAAACCTGAGCCTCCCTCATGGAAGGTGAGAATTCTACCACTGAACCACCACTACCCCCATGACTTCTAGCTCTAAAAGTCTAAAGTTCTGGAGTCTTCATTAAATTGTTATCCACATCTATGACTTAGACGACAGCTCTGATGACAGGTGGTGCGTACAGCTGGCTCTGGGGTCCCACAGACCCACATGCTGGTGGTGGGCTCAGCACAGGGTATAAATTGGCCATCACAGCAGCTGACCAAGGGGCTGGCTGCTGGAGCACAACAGTTGTTCGGTTGCTAGGGCAATGTATGAAGTCACTCACTCCCAGGACCAAAAAATACACTGTCTATGGCAAAGGGTACCCGGAGCCAGAGCCCATGTAATGCTGACATCACTGCTGCGAGCTAGCCAGGGAAGCAAAAAGGGGACGCCCGGTCGCTCAGGCAAACTGGCAGTAAGTTTTGTTTACACTGGTTTAAATATGGTGATTCCCACAAATGCAGAACCCTGTGGGGAGTTTGAAGAAAGCAAGGAAAGCACTCATTTGAGGAAGGGCAAAGAAGGTGACAAGATAAATTCTACTCAAGGTGGGCACCATGTAGGTTTGTCGTGGGAGCCACGACTGCAGTACACACGTGAGTAGATGCTGGCTGTATACAGCGCCCAGGAAGACGGCTGGTCCACAGCGCGCTGCCCCGCCTCGCGCAGTCCTGCCCTCGGGGACAGCTAGGAAACAGGACACCAGCCTCGTTCCTTCCTCACCCCTGTGACCAAGCACTTTAGGTTCCAGAAACACAAATAGTTTCCAGCTCCCAGAAAACCCCAAGGCCTGTACTATAAGAGGAACGTTCAGAGTAAAAGCCCTATTCCCAGCGCCCGTGCCCCAGGATCACGGCCGCAGAAGAGCCCCGGCCAAAGCAGTGAAGGGGGCCAGGGTGGGGCTTGGTGATCTGGTCAAGTTCTATTTCAGATCTTCTCTATGCCAGCTCAGCGGGAAGCCTCAGGGGCCCCGGGTTCTCACTCCTGCAGCTGGGCGTCAGGGCACAAAGTGCTTGCTAGCTGGGGAGCTCTGACCTCTGACCAAAGCCAGAATGGTGGTCTCAGGTCAGCAGAGAGCATCAGCGGCACATTTATGGAGGGGAGTATGTCTTCCCCTGCCCCACCAAGGAGAGTGCTTTTGTTCCTCTTTCGAGAGAAATCCAAATAATCGCCAAATAATTCCTGAGTTTGGAAGCCTGAGTAGGGCGCTAGGGTACACAGACGGACTCAATCCCCTAAGAGGCTTACGGTCTGGGGGGACAAGACACAACACAAGTGCCCCCATACCAAGGGCCTTCACCAGCCTGGTTACACTGAGCACCAAGCGTGGCTCTGCTTCCATGCCTATTAATTCATGCTGTTCTCTTAGCAGCCCCATAGTGCAGGGCCTGTGATGGTCCTCCTCCTTTCAGAGGTGAGAACAGAAACACAGTGAGGGTATCCTGACTGAGATCACGCAGTCATGAACCCAGGCAGCCTGGCTCTCACACCTGTACTCTCAACCACTAATCTGTGCTGCGCTAACGCCCCTGCTTCCGGATCAGAGACGCTGGTGTTGCAGACACATTTTACAAAGTGCAGATCCTGCAGATAGACCCTCCACGCCACGTCGTTGTTGTAAGTTGGCCCCGACTCATGGAGACTCCACGCACAACGGAACAAAACACTTCTCGGTGCTGTGCCATCCCCATGATCAGCTGCAGATTGGACCATTGTGATCCTTAGGGTTTTCACTGGCTAGTTTTCAGAAGGAGATCACCAGACCTTTCTTCCTAGTCCATCTTAGCCTGGAAGCTCCGCTGAAACCTCTTCAGCATCCTGACAACACGTAAGCCTCCACTGACAGATGGGTGGTGGCTGTGCACGAGGTGCACTGGCCAGAAATCGAACACAGGTCTCCCACAGAAGGTGAGAATTCTACCACCGAACCACCAATGTCTCCCCAGACAATACTAATTAAAGTAAATTCAACACCTCTTGATGATTTTCCTTTTTTTTTTCCCCCAGAAACCCTGGTGGCGTAGGGGTTACGTGCTACAGCTGATAACCAAAAGGTCGGCAGTTCAAATCCACCAGGTACTCCTTGGAAACTCTATGGGGCAGTTCTACCCTGTCCTATAGGGTCTCTGTGAGTCAGAATTGACTCACGGCAACGGATTTACAGGGTTTTTGGTGATTTTACTCAAAATGCCCCTACAGGGCTCTCCCATAATAACATGAAGCTCCCACTGGGGAAATACCACCAGCTCCCTGAGATGGCTCACGGAAGGCAGGAGCACGCATCACCTTACACACACAGCAGGGCACTGGTGATTTAATTCGTGTGTTCACGGACACATCTCAGCCACAGACGAGTTATCCCATCTCCTATCAACACGCACAGAAGACTCATATGTCAAAGGCATAAACAAAACCTCTAAGGAGATGCTAGAATTGTATGATTTCCTCAAAAGCTCTTAAAGGGACATTCTTCATGAACAATAGGAACAGACTCCTACACCTTCAAGAAATGGGTAGAAGGTCCTCAGAGGCTCCAATCGAACCTAGCTATTTTGAGAGCAGTGAAGGAAAACCGCCCCTGAGCTGTGCCTGAGAAATGCCAACCCTGTGAATCACAGGCTATTAGTGAACATTTCATACCGCTCCACGGGTTGGCAACCTCTAATGCAGGAAAATAAGCAAATATGTGCGAGAAAACAAAGTCCGTTGCCTCATTAAGGAGTCCAACAGAAATCCATGGTGCTGAAGTGGGTTGTGATGTGGCCCTCTGGCTGGGCTCCAGGACCTAACGGGCCCCCTGCCTTCCCAAGCAGGCCTCTCTGTCTGGAATAGATGGCTGTAATTGAATTTCTCAGCAGGTCTCTGTCATTGAGCACTGCGGGCGTGATGCCACCGCACTGTGTGCCCACTGTAAAGGGGGGAAAGAGTGAGGGAGGGGGACAGGCCGATAACATTTCCAGAAGTGACGTCCTGAGGTCTGTGGAGTGTTCACACGGTGCTTTCTAAGCTAAAAGCAGGGGGAGAGCCGGGAAGAATAAAAGGGGGCCGCAGACCCCCAGAGCTGGGAGGAGGGGTACATAGCATGGGGGAACCTGAACACCAGGGAGGGCTAAAGGACGGCCAGGTTACCATGGGCAGACCTGGGGCCCAGGCTCCTGTGGAGTGCTCAGGGCCCCCCCTCAGCACCACAACATGGCCTGTGGCCAGTCAGTCAGTTACAGGGAGGACCGCAGGACGAAGGAGAGAAGGAGTGGAGACAGGCGCAGAATTCCATTCACAACTGAGCTTCTTCGTGGAGCTTTGAGGTCAGAATCAAAGACCAGGGACATTATGTAAAATGTTAACCCCCAGGCAGCAGGGCTATGTGAAGTTATGGTAATTTACTCTGTCACTTGCTGAAAGCCTACTCCTCAATACTAGGGACTGAAAACAATAGGATGATAAACAGAAGGACAAAAGAACTACTAATAAAATAGAGAGAGGAAGCTCAAGGAGTGGTCAACGGAATAGTAAACTCTGGAGCCAGGTTGCCTGGATTCAAATCCTGGGCCATCCACTTCCTAGTTCTGTGACCTTGGGCAAGCTACTTAAGCCATCTGTGACTCAGTTTCCCCACTTCCAAAGTGGGAAGAACAATGAGCTCTACCTCATAGGTTAGTGGTGGGAATTAAGTAAATAAGTTTAAAGTATGTAGTGTAGTACATGTTAGCTGTCATCCTCCTCCTCATCTTCTACTGACCTCAGAAAAAAATAGATTTTTGTTAACTCAGTTAATGGAAGTGGGTCAAGAGGAGAAGGGATTCTGGCT